GTTCCTAGTAGCGATGCCCTTGTTACTAGTAGCTTCTTGCTACTAGTAGCGTGGCACTTGTTACTAGTAGCTTCTTGCTCCTAGTAGTACGGCCAGGAGCCCCTAGTAGCGTTCTTGTTCGTAGCGATGCCCTTGTTGAGAAAAAACTTGTCCAGCCTCCTCAATCCAATCCCCTTCGCCGAGTACATCCATGACAACCTCGAATGCGCCCAAGATAAGGGAATCTGAGGAATGCCAGAATCCTAGGTGGTCCTAGTTGAAAAACACAGCGCACTCCGTTTGCCAAGTCCTTGCTGACAGTGCTTGGTACCCCCACTGTGCCTCACTGGGCTCTAGAGCCAAGCAGTGAATGCCAGCCAAGCTGCTGCCTCTGCACGGGCCAAATGCCCTGGATCTCGGTAGATGAGAAGCTGATGTGCACTGCAGCCAGGACAAAAATAGTCCTTGGCATGAAATCGGAAACAGGCACAAGGAACAATATAAACAGTTGGAAACTGTTCGTTGCTGCTGTCTTCATGCAGCACGGTGGTTTTTGCAAATATCGACCTCCCGGCTCTCAACATCTCCCAACATCGACTGCCAGCACATTCTCTTCATCTCCTGACTCAATCTGCTTTTGTAATAGCAATGGCCTCCAACCTAGAAGCGGCCTAGATAACAGACCAAGGAACGTTTATGCTATTGAGCACCACCTCGGTCGGATGGGCGTGAGATTCTAACTCCGGAGGTCAGAGGTTCGAGGGATCAGGCGCGCACATGCACACATACTCACTCTCTCGAGTCTCTCTCCCTCTCGTCGCTGAGGCCCCAAACAAATGGCACCATGACCGAGAAAATTATGGATGACCTGCAGTGATAAGTTCCATGTGATGCACTTGTTTCTTCTAGCTTCTTGTTACTACTAGTAAGGCACTTGTTACTACTAGCGATGAACATGCGTGAGCAGTAAATTATGCAAAGAAACTCGAAGTGCAACATGACTTTGTGACGATGTCTGGCTCCCCAGCTCCCCTGAGTGTCAGAACACGATGATATCACGTGCCATTCGGTGAGCCCTGACCCAAAGCCTTGAAAAGACAGCGAAAGCAAGAGTTCGCGCTGACACATTGTCAGGAAAACCACGGCTCGACGCAACAGAACGGGGTAAGGGTTTGTTCAAGAGAGTGTTTTTCTAGCAATGTGTTTTTCGATGTTTTTCATCAGATTCCAACGGAATCTCAAAGCTTGTTGTCCAGGCTTTCCGTCAGAACATTCCCGCCCAAACGGACACCTTGTGTGGATCGACGTTCAGAAACTGTCTCTGAAATAATATGTCGAATATGTTGTATCAAAACAGCGTCCAAAAAGTCCGAGACAACATCTGCAAAAGTCCGAGACAGGCCGAGCTTCTGCAAAGGCAGCCCACAGCATCCCAAGATGTTGCAACAACGTGCCCTGACCGAGTGCGGCTGACGTGACCGACTCCGGTGCACCTGTCGCGAGTGGTACATTCTTCGTTCGGCCTCAGCATGCCTTCACCTTAGATGAACTTCACAAACACAAAAAACACATGAACACCACTTCTTGCGGTCTACAAACTAGAAATAACAATCTTACAAATCCCTAAACATGTGCCTTGGAGAATGTTTCCTCCACCAAGTCGGCTATGCAACTAGCTGCCTGTACAGGACCACAGGAATTCAGGGGCATCTCAGGACAGCCTAAAAAATTTGATGTAGAGAGTATGAGTATACAGTATACACATGTGTCTAGCGCCCGCCTTTCATATTACGCGCTTCTCAGCAAGCCCACATGTTGCTGTGTGAGAAATACACAGGTGGAAAGAGAACTCCCACCAAAGACGTGGACGTCAGGATTAAGGTTTTGATGAGCGGCCGAAGAAGATGCAGATCATCAGGAGGCCCCACTTCAGGATAAAGCCGGCCACAGAGGCATTCCTGGCTCACCAAGAATTGCCAAATGTCACTGTCACATGTCTTCAGATTGAGAAGAATGCAAGGCAAGCAAAACACAAGTACATAATTAAAGAGAGTGTACTTGCTAAAATCTGGACTCCTCTTGGAACGATGTACGACAACCACTTATATAACAGCCGGCAGTTGATTGTTTGTTTTGTTCAACTGATAAGCGGCCGGCTTGCTTAGGCACCACGAAAAATTCTGCAAACATGAGCATGCTCCATAAGAAAGAAGCCATGATTCCGCCATCCGATGGCAACAAAGACATAGATGGCATAGACCTCATTGGGACTGTATGTCCTTCTGTTTGTACGCGAAATCCCAACAGGAGAGCTCACCCCTGCGATGTTTAATTAATTAGGTATGTGACGGTATGTGCAAAGTGGTCGCCATTGCAAACACAGCTCACAACACCAAGGACGTCTTTCTGTTTCCAAATGCGGCTCCAAATTTGAACCCAAAACACTGCTTCCGCCAAATCCAGTACCGTCACTGTCCACGCTGAAAATGTGAGCCTCAGGGCATTTCAGGGCCATCCCGTTCCGAAGGCATGATCAAAAATACCTAGATCAGCCTGTTTTGGGCTAGCAACATGCCGAACTTCTATTAAGTTCATATTCACAAGCGCCCACCAACTTACATCAACAGTGGCACGAAAGGGAAGATCAAAACGGTCACTAGCCGCTACTGTATTACAGCTGATTGCGAATGTCCGAAGCACCTCACAAAACGGGTGCTCCCCAAAATCCCATATGTCAAAAAGCCGTTCAATCTTTACTGTTCCTCATGCTATGACTAACGTCCTACCGAGCTCTGTAAGATCCATCCAACAAAGGATGAAGCCAAACACATTTCTTGGCACATCTTTGAAGTTGCGCATGCAAGAGAAGCGGCGGGATTCCAAGCTCACCTCAAGCAAAAAGGATCCAAACAACAAATAATCGCTCAAACGAAGAGGGAAAGCATTCACAAACATTTAAAAAAGCAAAGGATTCTCACCAAAGGCCTTCAGGAAGGAAAACACATTAAACAAACGATGCGACATGTAGCACAAAGGATTCCACGGCCTGGGACCATCCAATTCTATTTCTTATTGCGACTGTCGCAAGTGTTTAAAGTGCCCCTAGTAGCGTCCTTGCTCCTAGCAGTAAGGCCAGGAGCCCCTAGTAGCTTCTTGTCTATCACTTTCTGCAGGGTCTCTTCTTTCTCTTTCTCCTGCTTCTCTTCTGTGATTGCGCAACCCACCGAGCGTTCACAGACTTTCATCCCCCAGGGCATTTGGTGCCAAGTTGCACCACCTGGGAGCAGCCTCGGGGAAATCGTGCACAAATCACAAGTAGCACGAAGCGTTACAGGTTTCTTATTGTTTTTCTCTCTCTCTCTCTCTGCTTTTCTCTCCGGGCTCATCCGTGGGTGGGGTGTTGGACTTCACTACCTCATTACGACTATATGTTCAAAGAACTGTAAACACAGAGAGAGAATAATCTAAACTGTTGAGAGGAATCGTTCGTATGCCTTTGATGGACCGGGTGATGAACATGATTCAATAATGAAACATTAATGATATCAATCTACGGTATAGCACTTGTCATCTCCAGGTTGTTGTCATGCGTATTATATAGCTTAATATAGTGACTCTATTTTTCAACCCTCTTGAAACTGCACATGTTTCAGGGGTCATCGGGATGTTGGCTTGGACATGAATGACCTTTCCTTGCGCTCTTTCTCGACGCAAACAGTGCGGGTGGTTGTTGCGAAGCGACCTGACTGGTATTCGGGTCAGCTCCACAGCATACCAACCGCAAATGGAACAAGCAAACGTTTCACGCTGCACGCTGCAAATGTGATCCCCTTCGAAGAGGGAAGAGTCAACTGGTCCAATGGGAACCATAGGTGGAACCATTGGTCGAATAAAAGGAGTGTAGGCACCAAAATGCGGTCGTTTGGATCAAGGCGTCCTTGATTGAGCTAAAATGTCAGTTAATAATACGTGACATTGCGCATAAATCATGCCAACTTATGCAAACCCAAGCCTTCCAAACTCATAATTCAAACAAAAACTGTTCTACTAGGGGCTCCTGGCATCGCTACTAATTAGGAGCAAGGACGCTACTAGGAGCTCCTGGCCGTACTACTAGGAGCAAGTAGCTACTAGAAACAAGAAGCTACTAGGAGCTGTCTTGGGTTCCCACTTCCGGGCGCGTGCTTGGCAGTGCTGGTGCCACTGCCGCCACTTCACGATCCTTGACTGCTGTCCGAGACTCGTTATTAGGAGTGCTCGGGTTGCGTTACTCAAAGTGTTTTGAGTCCATTTCTAGTTCACAAATCAGACTGCCATTTGATGAAGTAAGTCAGTAGCGGCAAACATCAAGAATTCACCCCGCAAACTTTGCGTGCCTGCGCAGTTGCATGCGGAACCTCCTCCTGCAAACGCTGGCGTCCAGTCCAAAAGCGGCAACATACTCAAGGTCATGATGGTATAAATTAATACAATTAAATTGTACGGAATCGTGAGCAAGCATCTGATCCTGACTCTCGACACTCACCCTGTGTTGTCGTTTGTCGGGTGGCATTGTTCAAGCCGAACAGCCACAGCCCCCATGGCCATGCGCCGTCAAGCGCCCGCGTCGCCCTGCCTCTTCCTCGGTGGCCGTGGTCATCTCGCGAGACCCAGGCAGTCCAGGCTCCTGCGGAGCCTGGGAGATCGCCACTGGTGCTTGACTCACCCTGCATCATCTGCATCTCTTGGTAAGAACGGGACGCAGCGACAATGGCGGGAAAAACGAGGACAATCCAAACATCATGTCACAAGTCAAGAGGTGATTAGCCCTGACCTTGCGAACACACCCCTCACCCACCACTGCCAGCACCACAGAAACAAACCCGAATAGACTCTGGCACTAGGTGCTCCACATGTGCAAACATTAATATTTTGGCGGGGGTAGTGTTGACGGAGGTAGTGTCCAACTTTGTGATTCATGGCACTGCCTGCAACTGGCCAAACAAACTTTGATCATTGGGCTTTAAGTAGGTTCTTAGACACTTGGTGATGCCCAACTCCTAAGCATCAAAAGGTGCAGGAACTCTCGTATTACTGTCTTGTGAAGAAATCCCCTTGCTGCCTCTTCATCGGCGGGAGCTTCAACCGGTGCTTCCTCAGCCGCAAATCCAACTGTTTTCACAAACACAGACCCAAAGTACTCAATTCACTTTTCATACAACACAATGTCTATCGAAAAAGAATCGTAAACAGGAAAAAAATGAAACAGTCCAAAGAAACAACGGTCCAAACATGTCAAAAAACAACACGAAGCTCTAAACAAAACAATGCCTAACGTTCTAAAGAATAAGAAAAACGTCTGAATAAACAAAGGTCCAATGAAAAAAAGTTCTTAGAACAATAACGGTGTATCGACAAAGGGGAAACACACAAATATAAAGTACGTATAATATCCTAAGATATCCTAAGCAAAACAAATCCAAAGCAAAGTTCTAGAGTCTAATGGAAGGAAGGCATGTCTTGAAAAGGTATAACACGTCAAAAGGTCTAAATAAACAAACACAAATCATAAAGAAGGTCTAAAGTCTGAGGACGACACATCCACCATTCGAGACAGTACGTCTCAGGCAAAAGAACGGTAATCCCCCCACTCTGGGCTCTGATCCGACACGAGGTCGGTCTCTTTCTGGGCCACCGGGCGCTGCGGCCTCCCAAGGCTTTTGTCGCCATGGTGCCAAGGCGCATTGTGATCCCTGGAGCTTTCCTCGTGGATCGGGGCAGGTCCCATGACGGGGCTTCAACTGGTGGCGGATCGCATGCCACCTAGGAGTGCCCTCTAAACCTGTTCCTAGCAGCTTCTTGTTACTACTAGTAAGGCACTTGTTACTAGAAGCGATGCACTTGTTCCTAGTAGCTTCTTGTTACTACTAGTAAGGCACTTGTTACTAGAAGCGATGCACTTGTTCCTAGTAGCTTCTTGTTACTACTAGTAAGGCACTTGTTACTACTAGCGTGGCACCTGTTCCTAGTAGCTTAAACCTTGGGAGTTCGGCAATACCATTTTGATGTTCGACTGGCAGGTGGCGGTGTGCGGTTCGGCCGCATGCGTCGACGCAAGATGCTGCTGCAGCCCACCAGGGATTCGAAGAAGACCGCCAGCAGGCAGTACCTCAGAAAAGCCACTCATTGGCTTTCCAGTCATAGCGGATATCAAATGCTCAGCCGTTAGCCTGAACAGTCCAGTCAGTTGAACTTGATCCTCATTCTAATTTAATCTAATTCTAATTCTAATTTGTTACTACTAGTAAGGCACTTGTTCCTAGTAGCGATGCACTTGTTACTAGTAGCTTCTTGTTTCGGGATTTCTTGGAAGGTCGGATCTAAATCATTCGTAGACACGTGAAGGAAGCACCGATCGGAGGCAGTAGAGCTGCCTTAGTCGCCCAGCGGATGCTGCATCGGCAAATCGAAGGATTCTGACGGAAGGGAGGCAACAAACCCAACAAAACTATCCGCAATGAATTTGAGACATATATCTCTAGATTGGAGGATGGTGGAGGCCATCGGGGATGCTCGCGGGACATCTGACCTCACAGGTTCTGCCAAGCAGCGATGTGCAGCATGTTACTCGAAAGGGCCCCTGACAATGTCTCACTGTGTCCAATGTGTGACACAAAACTGACGCAACACCAATATTTGACATTAACAAATCTACTCTTTGTATTGAAGTAATACAATGAATTCAACGCAGCTTGTTCCCGGGTGGCACACTACAGCCTGGCCTGAGTATGCCAGCATCAGCGCATCGATCTTCATGTTTATCATGGCATACCAAGCCGCCAAGAAAAAGACCGCAACCACAAACCTCAAGTGATAAATATATGTATAATATATATATATACCTTCTATACGTTTTACATACATGCGTGCACGCAAAATGCTTATAAATTTCAATCTGTCCAAATTGCTGAAATTTCAAAAGGATAGGCGTCTCGGGCAGTTGGAAGAAGTTAGAAGGCTTACACTCCCGAAAACTAACATGGAAGTGGAAAACCACCTGTTTGTAGTGGAAAATGGTCTTCCAAGGGGCCATTCTCCACTTCCATGTTAGTTCCAGGGAGTGTAAGTCAAGTACAGTAGTCATTAGTAACAAAGATGAAGCTCCTGGTAGGGTGGAGGCCATCGCTCTTAGGTTGGCGGCCGTCGCTCTCAGGGTGGAGGCAGAAATCAAGGTAGCAAGCATCTCGTGGCTTTACCGGGGATGTTTGATCTCTTAGCGTCTTAGAGATCAAGGCCCAACAAGCTCAAGATCACCCCCCTACATACGTGGCAACTGTGACCAACATTGGAGTCAATGCCCGCGGGGCCCGGTGCATCAAAGTTACGTGATGTCCACCTGGGCTCGGCCATCTGCTGAACTCACATCAGTCCACATCACTGCAGAACTGCATGCTCCAAGCTAAGTACCAAGGTTGCTAGAACCCTTCCAACATACACAATACAAATTGTCCCTCCGAATCATTAACCCGAGTTCTGTGTTGACCGGTCCTACGTCGTATAGTTGATCAACTTGGCTCTGTATGTGAAGCAAGGCCCCTAAAACCCACCTGAAAGGGTTACAGCCAGTTACAGCAAAAAGCAACACAATATAAATAGACTTCTCACAAAATAGAACTCTGAAGCATCCTGGAGCGGATGCTAACTGATTTTCCAAGCGTCCATGGATCGATGAAGGCCACCACTCCGGGGCTTCAACTGAGTCCGATCGTACCATTCCACCCAGTGTCTCCCACTGTCCTGAAGGGAGAAGAGCATTTCTGCCGCCCAACTCTCTCTCAAATCGGTGTCCAGTGCCGCCTCACCGCCTCTGTTTCACAATCAGGCTGGTGTCAAGACAGAAGTGTTCCTGCTCACTCTTTAACTGAACTTACCCCGTGACACCTGTGATCCATCAATGTCAATGTCTCATCACAACATCACCCGCCAGAAAGGCCAAGAGCCCACAGGTCCTCCAAAAAGAAGGCCACCAAGCAGCGAAAGTCCTGCAAGACTCTAGCATATAGCAATGGCCTCCAACTTAAAAGAAAACTGCACCAATGAGCCAAAGCAAAGCATAGTCAAAGGGGATACGATTCTCTTAATTCTGGAGGCTGCCAATTTCAAGACATGTCAACTATTCAAATTCAACACTCTCCAGCATCACCTACTGTTCATTTGAAAGCTAAGCTCCCCAAACCAGCAAACGCCAGTCCTCACAGAAATGCTTCCAAACAAACCTGAGCGAAACCGTTCGAATGACGTCGTGTGAATCTCACGGACCTGTCCGAACTAGCCGAAGCAGTTTGCCCAAGGAGCTGGTACGGGTTGAAAATAAAGGGCGCCTCAAGGGTACGTTGAGTCTCTGGCAGTAGTAACAATGTTCGCTACTAGGAACAAGTGCATCGCTACTAGTAACAAGTGCCTTACTAGTAGTAACAATGTTCGCTTTTAGTAACAAGGTCCTAGTAGATTCCTTTGGTAGTAATTACAAAAAATCTTATTGTTACTACTAGTAAGGCACTTGTTACTAGCTGACTGTGAGTCGTGTTGATGTGGATGCAGCTGAGTGACCCAAAGCCAAGAAGCCACAGTGAGGAACAAGCAAATGAAGACCCACCACACATCACTGGAATACACACCAGCACCTGCCGCCAAACATGCGCAAGGAAATGACCTAGCATAGCGAACCTGCAACAATTGGCGGTTTGATGAGGTTTGCGTTTCCTTCACCATCTTCCTCGCTCATCGGCTCAAAAGCTTCCACTACCAGCCTGATACTCCTCCAGCCAAGTAGATGAGAATGACGCCAGCCAGGAGAGTGACTCCATCCTCGGCATCGTGATCTCTTCGGTCGTTGCCCAAACCTTTTAGCAGCACACACTGTGCAAATCAGGTCTCATAGTAAGCAATGGAGGCATAGTCCAAGTACAAACCACCAAGCCGTTTGAGCTGAAACCTTGGTTTTCGCCCGAAAACCGAATGCCCAAGATGTTACCACTAGTAGCTCCTTGTTCCTAGTAGCGATGCCAGGAGCCCCTAGTAGCTGAGATGCTTCCCTTTCTGGTCAATGCCAATGTCAGTGGGCTGATGAGGGCACATTCTGTGTGATGTCCTTCATAGTGAAACGAGCTGAATTCTGCAGTGCCTTTTGCGTGCCTTTTGCTATTTCGCAGGTCAAACAAAGACAAAGGCTGTCAGGTCAGGGCACTTGCCCGGGACCGCTTCGCCGATGAAGGGCCGCCGATCCGTTGGGAGTCCTCGGCCCGTGGAGACGTAGGTGGCACCGCCGTAGCGGATCTCGTTGATGACCTGACACGCCATCCATGAGGTATGGCCGCCATGGCCTATACATTTAAACAGAAACCAGTCTGCTCCCCTACCTAGAAACAATGGCGTCATATGGTCTCCAACCTAATAGCGATGGCCTCCAGTATGCGTCGGTGCCCGTGGTACAGTAGGGCTCTTACAGGTCTTCGCCCTCTCTGCCCGTAGTAGCGTCCTTGCTCCTAGTAGCGATGCCCTTTGCTAGTAGTAGCGTCCTTGCTCCTAGTATCTCCGAGTAGTACGGCCAGGAGCCCCTAGTTGCTTCTTGTAGTGTTCGTTCTTTCAGGAAAGTATGTTGTCGTGAGGAGCGTCGCTCGAACGAGGAAACAGGCAGCCCAGGGACAACAAATCGCATACAAATGCCCCCAAAAAATCTGAGGGTCTGGCATAGTGCCCAATGATCTTGGCCTGGAAAATGAACATGAGCCTGAGAGTCAGTGATCAACTGAAGAATTAGTGCAAGGCTTCTGCAGAGCTGACACTGCTAAAAATTCCGAGATGTAAATGAAGATCCGAAAGCAACATCATCAACTGATTCTCGGCGGAAACGGAAACTGCGAGAGCCCGAAGCAGCATCACCAAGCCAGGCCAAAAAGCGGGGAAAGTGTGAGCATCTGCTTGAAAAAGCGCTCGCAGGCGACCTGCCGACACTTTGTGTTGTTGTGCCATCGCTACTAGTAGCAAAGGGCATTTTACTAGCAGCTAGAAGCTATATAGTAGTAACATGTTTTGCTTTTGTTTGTTCTCTTTTATAATCACGGCAGAGAGTGGTTAGGACCCCAAAAGTTTCTTTCTGGGTGAAGTGGCCCCACGTTCGTCCAGTGACAATGGCTCTCCCCAATGGCCTTGAGATTCCGTTCCATCCACATCTCCGCCTTGCACATGGAGGTGCAAAGGGTAAAATACGGACAGATCAAGAATGTATTGACTTCAACATGGTTGTGGCAATGTCCTCCTCACTGGCTGAAGCTTTCACTGACTGACATCAGAAACCCCCAATGTTGGGACAGATTACCCTGCGGTTGTGTGTGTCTCAAGGTTTGTCATGCTACAACGAATTCTTGTTGATCCAAGCGGCCAACAAAGGAAGCGACGTCGCAATCAAGAAGAGCAGAAGCAACCAAGAGAACCAAACCTGGCTTTCTCAACGAGAAAGTGCCAGCCCTGGCAAAGCACTTGATGCTCTCGTTTTGGTGGACAAGTGACAGTAAGATGAATCTGCCTCTGATAGTGCAGGAATTTGAGCGTGGCATTTTTCCGGCTAGAGGAGAGGAGCGTGGAAGCCACCATAAACAGGCAAATCAATAAGCAAGTGCTGTTGGTAGGTTGAACAGGCTTTCAGAGACAAATACATACAGAAGAGCCACAAAGACTAGAGGGACCAAAGCTACCAAAGTCCAAAGAACATCAAAGTTTCCGGGCATTTCCCGAAGCTTTTGTTGGCTCCACTTTCCGGGGTGCAAGGCCCCTCCTGATGTTCATGAACTGGTTAATGTTGGCACCGATCTCACCACCAACGAATAGACTTCCTCGGTTCCTCCCGCCAAGGTCCACACTCCTACGGTCTTTGCCATGACTTCCGCTGAGGTCATCTGGACCTGCGGGGTGAATTCGGCGAGGTCAAACAATTTCAGCCTTCATTTGGCTCACTTGGGTTCAATGGATCCACACACAAGCCACGAAGCGATCTATGATATGGATGCCCTTTCCATCTTTCCTTATGGGCTTTAGGGGTCCCCACCTGCTCCAGATTCAAGAAGGCCTCAAAAATGCCATCACGGACCTGAGCGGCACTGAACAACTTGTGAGGAGCAAGGACGCTACTAGGGGCTCCTGGCCTTACTACTAGGAACAAGAAGCCATTAGGAACAAGTGCCTCGCTACTAGTAACAAGTGCCTTACTAGTAGTAACAAGAAGCTCTTAGAAACAATAAGCCATTAGGAACAAGTGCATCGCTATTAGGAGCAAAGGGCCTTACTAGTAGTAACAAGAACGCAACTAGGTGCTCATGGTCCGCTCCGAGCCTGCCTCATCTGCCAAAAGCACCAAAAGCCAAACGAAGACCAGCAAGGGCATACTCCAAGAGACAAAGAGTTGCCTGCAATTCGTGCTAACAGGGTGGGCTGCTTTCAAGCTGCAAAGGCCAAACTGGTGCCAAGTTGCGTAAAGTAGTATCCCACATGTGCCTCAGTTCTGCTGGGAATGAGTTTCGGAACCTGAGTTCCCAGCTGCATACGTCCCACTATCCACAGAGCATCTGCAAACACATGCGAGCAAGGAGCATAGTAAAAGGTCAAAGCCTCGCAGCGAAACATGGAATAAAAATATATATATATATATATGTGTGTGTCAGTTGAGTAATTTCAGGACGTATTGGACGTATTGACAGCATCTAGCGGCCCTAGCAATCTGTTCCGTACTGCCGTAAGCATGCAATTTCGAGGTTCGAGGTTCAAGCATGATTTATGATGATTAAATTACATGTTGCATTTGTACAAGAACCTTCCAAAAATAGTCAAACCTGACTGTTTGGATTTGAAATCTTGCCTGTTGCTCAAAACGGAACCCGTCTTAGCACAAATGTGCAGTCAATGCGTGGGTCCTCAGCTGGCCTCGGGCAAATGGAGCACTTGCCCCAAACGAAAGGCTTGGCGCGTGAGGACCTGCTCACCTCAGGCCAAGAAGAAGTTCTCAAGACACCCAAAGCATTTTTTGACACAACTGTTGGACAAAACCCATTTCTCCCAATTTCTCAGGCCATTGGCGAAGACTGGGAGAAATGGGTAGCACAAGAGTAACAAACATACAGGCAGTTTGAGTCAAGGAGCCTGTGCCGGACGAGAGCTTGGAAAAGAATCCAAGCACAGTGTTGAAGCCCAGATCCCGGCCCTGGTTTGCAAGTAGCTACTAGTAACAAGCAGCAACTAGGAGCAAAGGGCATCGCTACTAGTAACAAGAAGAAACTAGGAGCAAAGGGCATCGCTACTAGTAACAAGAAGAAACTAGGAGCAAAGGGCATCGCTACTAGGAGCAAGGACGCTACTAGTAGCCCAGAATAGCCCAGATCTCTTGTTGGTCACGTCTCGGTTTCACCAAAGGCCCTGGACGGGCATTGCTGTAGCACAAACCGTTGATGGTTTCTAGGTTGATGGACTCCAACCTACTAGCAATGGCCTCCAACCTAAGAGCGATGGCCTTCAACTTAACAGGGAGAGAGAGGATAGTTTCAGGCGACAACTCGCATCTCGCCTTGGCCAGGTGGAAGTATTCTGAATGCCTTCAGATGTGAGAACAATGCCGCTTCGTCAGCATGTTCAACTGAAGTCTAAGTAACTTGGATTTGAAATAGTATCACCTGTTGGTCTAAGGGTTCTTCCAACGCAATGGACAATCAGCAAACATAATCATCTACAACCAAGTCCACTAGCTTCTGTATGGCCAACTCCCGCACCAAAGTTGCGGCGCAATTACGTTAACTCAATCATCACCTATACTCTACGAGTAGCATCCTGGCTACTAATAGCATACTGAAGGCCAAAGGTGCTTGATGGTCCGCCCGTTTCCTCTCAAAGTGAAGTCCATTCCTGGCCCGTTTCATCTCGTTCGGGAGCCCTGGACAGCACAAATGGAAGGTTTGGCAGCCCCAACCCTCTGAAAAGGTTGACCCATCAACTCGGTTGATCATGGTCGTGTCACAAATCACACTGTCCATAAAAGTGTCCTAGTCTTCCTTAGCAACGAGCACGTGATTGGACGTAAGGGGCAGTGAAGTCCAAGAGTAGCTGTGGGCATGGTAGCAAAAGGCTGGAGAAAGCCTTCCTTGTGACTCGTAGCAAACGATTTGGGAAACATGTTCAAAGTGCGCGGAATGTCTTTGTTCAGTGCTCCTGCGAAAATGTCTTCGGACAGGTTGACTGTCTTGGTGGCTTTGGAAACGCCACCCTGCTGCATCATGAATAACCTGAAGCATGGAGATTCGACTGGTACCAAATTCCGGACCTTCAAAGGTCAATAAACCGTCTTTGCAATTCAAGGATCCATTGGCATAGTTGTAAAGCACTATTTGTCGTATTCATGAACTGCAACTAATTATGTATATATATATATATTACTGTCATTTTCTGGGCAAAACATGCTTGGCACAGGATCTTTTGTGACATGTCACTGACCAACTCCGCTTCAGTGTGGAATCAGTGCACAAGAAGGAAACTACAGCACCTGAAGCTTTGCAGATTGGGTTCCTATTGATCGTATTTCGCGACCCTTTTGAGCCCGCCCCCGCTTTGCCCACGAAAGGATTGCTCCAAAGCACTTGTTCATGATATCGGGATGGCCATAATGCATCCGTGCACCCAGGACAGCCTTGGCACTGAACGTTTCAAACTATTTTTCCCAGCCCCCTTGCAGTGGCATTTTGAATGGACGTTCCGAATGGGATCCAAACTATCTGAGGTCGGATTTCAAAACACGATGAAAAAGGGAGGATACCTCAAGCCATCTCAAGGTTTACAAGCTAGTGCCTCTATGATATTCAAGCAAGGCCAACTGTCAGCATCATCAGGTGTTTGCTGCTGCGATGACTTCTCCAAGCAAGAAACGTAGGTTCGTTGTAGAATGGTTCCAAATGCCACTTCGGCAGAAGCAGCAAAGTCTCCGATGGAACCAATGTCGCCTTGTGCAAGAAACTGTTGCCAAAAGTCAGTGAAGGACACTAATTATGTTAGATAAAACACAACAGTTGTGTCACTGAAAACTGCAGCAACTAGCACTGTCTGCCAAGGACCACAAGAAGGCACCGGTTGGTCCGCCAGTCGCTACGGGCGTTCCGCCGAGGTGCTGGTGATGTGCTCTGGAAAGCCGACGATGCGCTTGGAGAGGCTGTCACCCCTCTTCTTCGAGCGGAATTCGCCTTGACACGTGGAGTACACCGTGTCATGCACCCGTGCTACTAGTAGCAGGGACCCTACTAGGGGCTCCTGGCATCGCTACTAGGAGCAAGGATGCTACTAGGGGCTACAAGGAGCAAAGGGCATCGCTACTAGTAGTAATGGCCCCCACCCTAAGAGCGTCCTTGCTACTAGCAATCCAAACCACACAGAAGACTCTGGCACACTGCACACACACAAATGGCCTTCCATAATGGCTCTCCTCTTCAAGGCTTTGTTTACCAACGGTTGGCCCAGAAACATACACCCACCTGGCCAACTCTAGAAGCTCTCACAACTCTGCCCAGGTTGTACCAAGTGACCAAGTGCACACGGCAGCAGCATCATCTGCTCCTCATCCAGGGCTTACTTCACTTATTTGTGTTTTTGCAATAAAAACAAGATGAAGAAACGACGGTATGTGGCTCCATGTCGTCAAGGCATTGAGCTGGACTGCTCTGCAGCCAAGCATCAAAGTAAGCCCCTTGGTTTGCGTCGATGCACTGTGTGAAGACGCCTCGCATAAAGGGTATCGCATGATTCTGATTGTCTCCCTTTCCATCGCCCAAGATCGGATACCCAGGCAGCTCCACTCGGAATTTCGCCTCAAGCGATCGGGTGAGAAGGCTTCGTACAGGTTCTTAAATATGTAATTTCGTGGATTTTCGGCACCGAAATTACAAGATCTTGGGCACCAGTGTGTACACTTACATTCGGGATTCCACTCACTCCTCATCACTCCTTTTTCTGACTGGAAATCAAACAGAGCTCCTAAACCGAACTGAGCATCACGGCTCTACCGGAACATCGGATTTCACTCCCCAGTGCTACAAAGGACGCCACTAGTAGCAAAAGGCATCGCTACGAACGGAGCAAGAACGCTACCAGGGGCTCCTGGCCCTACTACTAGGAACAAGAAGCTACTAATAGCAAGAAGCTACTATTAAGGAGCAAAGGGCATCGCTACGAACGGAGCAAGGACGCTACTAGGGGCGCTCCTGGCCTTACTACTAGGAGCAAAGGGCAGCACTGCCACCATCCAGGTCCAGGTCCTTGCGGTTGAACCGACACCTTCAAGCCGATGCGCCTTCTTCAAGCCTGTTGGTAGATCTTCGCACGCACCATCAATGAGGCTGCTGTAGTACCGGCGCTTCTGCTTTGGATGGACCAGGTCCAACTCCGCCGTGATACCTTTGTCCTCCTTGGGGAGAAATATGGAGAAATGGATGTAAGTCAAGCATACATTTCACACAAAACTGCCAGCCATCCTGCCAGGCTGCTATTTACAAGGCACGCTTTATGCGATTTATGCGGCATGTTCAACAACTCCCGCCGGCACTTGGGGTGAACAGTCCAAGCTGCACAGTCAATAAAGGCCACCTTCAGGCAGTCTGGGAACTTCGCAAACATCCTCCAAGCAAGGCAGCAAGGCAAACCCAAAGACCACAGCTCAGGACAAACCGCAACCCGGGTCAAACTCGCGTTGCTGGCTATGTCCTGTTGGTGTGCTCAAGCTGCGTCTGATCAAAAAACTTGTACCTCAGGCATGGGGCTGCCCAAATCTCTGGAAGGGTACGGTTGTACAAAAAAGGGCAAGCTAAAGCCAGCTGTACGGATACAGCAAAAGTTCAATGAACACTAATGCAAGCAACGATGGCTCCATGTGGCTTAGAATCTGTCAAACCAACTCCAACCCCTGCAAACTACTCCACAGAAAAGTGTGATAGATAGTAAGTACATCAACCCACACCTGCAAACATCCAAGGCACATTTGCATTGAAACCAAGCCTGCAGAAGCAAAAAGGGCGTGGCAGATCCAGAAGCTGGGGATTTGTCACGCGAGGCCATCTCTGGATTTGGAAGAACCAAACCAAACAGAATTCGACACACATGAGAAGTCAGGTTGACACTGCATGAGACTTATAAGAATACAACATCAAATGCCAGAACTCTATCCCTAGGCAGCAACTCGTGCGCTCCCAGGTGCATGTGAAGCAATCGCTGGCATTCCAGATTCCTGGCTTCGCCAAACTGCTCTTCCGGTCGGCCTGGACCTCGCCAGCGGTTGTTGACAGCTCGAAGTCGATCAATAGGAGCAAGGACGCTTCTAGGAGCAAAGGGCATCGCTACTAGGAGCAAGAACGCTACTAGGGGCTCCTGGCCGTACTACTAGGAACAAGAAGCTACTAGTAGCAAGAAGCTACCAGGAGCAAAGGGCATCGCTACTAGGAGCAAGGACGCTTCTAGGAGCAAAGGGCATCGCTACTAGGAGCAAGGACGCTAGTGTTTGGTGGGGCTTAGCGGAGACACGCCTCGCAACCAGTACTGTTCTGTCGTTTTAGGCAAACGGCAAACGTGATAAACGACTGGTTTGCGCCGTTCGCCAGTCGACTCAGTGTGGGTTTCAACCTCTGAGGGGCTCAGCTTGGCCCTTTCTTTTAGTCCGCGCGGCGCTGCCTCCTTACTTAAGTAAGCGCCTATTTAAATTAGGAGCAGGGCCCACGCTCCTAGCTTCTAGCACGCTACTGCCTGGGACTCTGTCGCGGCATGCTTCCATGTTGAGCCTTGGATCTTAGATTTTTAGGGAAACTTCAGCCTACAAGTAACAAAAAGCTACTAGTAAAAAGTGCATTGCTTCTAGTAACAAGTGCCTTACTAGTAGTAACAAGAAGCTACTAGTAACAAGTGCATCGCTCCTAACCACGTAGAGCCCACGCCTCCCAGTGGCATTGCAAAGCTGGGTGGTATAGGCACATTCCGGCCACCTCAGCAGTGTATGCTGGTAACAAGTGCATCGCTACTAGTAACAAGTGCAACGCTACTAGTAACAGGTGCCTTACTAGTAGTAACAATGTTTGCTAGTAGAAGCTATTATTAAGTTTTTAATTAGTATTTAATTAGAATCAAATTAAAATTACTAGAAGGGGGTGGATGGAGAGTCCATTGCTATTAATAGGGTGGAGGCCATTGCCCACAGAATGAGGGGGGAGGTAGGCAAGAAAAAAAAGGAAGTGACCAAACCAAACTTGTGGCTGAGCTGATGAAGCGTAAAGACACCAAGAGCACAAACCTCTTGCAATGTGCAAGGTCCAAACCGTGACACAGGGAAACTCATTCTGTTCACTATCACATCATTTCAGAACCAGCAGTCTAGAAAAGCCCCGTCATTTATTTGCTCAGCTCCCCAAAATCATGTTGAACTAACACCGCCAAACGACACCTGATTCCCAATGTCTAGGTCCAAGTGCTGTACGCCAAAGCGTCTGCATGCGCATAGAAGCCCATGCGCTGATGGTGCTCCATTGCTGATCTGTATACCTGGCTGCTCCATCACCATCGGGGCAAAACTTCCTACAACCAAGCATTGGCATTGCATGGCCCTAGGCGACCAGATGATCTGAGTCTGTGGACAAATCCTGGGCAAAAGCACCATAAAAGTTCCCAGGCCCTCTGCGTCAGAACGGTGAGCACTGACTATTTGACATAGGGTAGCATGTAAATATGCTGTATGTGGTTGATCAAGTGACGATGCCCTGCTTCGCCCGTGGCAACTCTCAAGCTGTGTCAAGGTGCTCCTCCCATTGGCTTCCTTGCACAGGCCATCCACTGTCGCCCCATTTGACCTGATGTCTTCGGGAACAATATTGTTCCCCTAGTAGTGATGCAAGGGGCTACTAGTAGCTTCTTGCTCCTAGTAGCTTCTTTCTCCTAGTAGCGATGTCTTTGTTACTAGTAGCGATGCCCTTGTTCCCCTTAGCTTCTTGTTCCTAATCTTCTTCGCATAGCTCAAGATTGGCTTTCCAGATTTTGTTGAAGGAGCCACAGCTAGCTGTTATCATTTCAAAAAGAGGAGTCATGAGCAGTCTTTTGAGAAGCCTTTTGCCGGGTCCGGAAACAAACCTTTTCAAGCCTGCATCCGGTTGGAGAAGGTCAAGAACTCCTCTTCATACTTGGCGGCCAGCCTCAAGCTCAACTTTTGGTCTTATCTGTTTGCAATGATCGTTCAAGAACCATCCCAAGTGCCAAACCAGTCCATAAGAGGTACATTCTCCTCTCGGCCCTGAAATAGCTCCTTCTTCAACATCAGGATCGACTCGCCATAATGTGGAATACCTTGAGCAGGCTGAAAGCCCTACTTCAGGTTGCATTTGCTGCACAGTCAGGGATGGCTGTCGGTCTCACCGACAAGCACATTTCAAGTTTGAGTTAAGTTTAAGTGGCATGTTGCATCCTTGCTGGAAAACAACCATCAGGCGGTTTCAAGCCTGTTGTGGTGTGCATGTGCGCGGATATCACATGCATCTTCATCATGCATCATGCACCTATAGATGAAATCCAACTGTCCCGACTCGACAACCTGGCCATTTATGTGAAGACACATACGGTGAGACCAGGGAAGTAAGGTGCGCGGAAGGGCCGTGGCATTGGAAGTCCAAGTCCTCGAGACAAGGCCAAAAGCCGCCATTGCACCTCGAAAGATTTTGACAAAGGGAACGAGTCAATATGTGAGTTGATGATTCAAGGAATGGCATTTAAAGCAGTATGAAGAAGAAAAGGATGTTCTTCCTTTACATTCAACTTCCAATACTGGCCTTAGTACTAACGGCATGAAGTAGTATGGCTTCACTGGATGATCCAGGTAGGACCTAATGTTCCTCTGACGAGTTGCGTCTGCATTGTTTGGCCAATGGGCATCATGCATGCAGCAATATGTTTTGAAACCGACCTGCCCGAACGATCGCACAAAAGCACAGGGCATCACAGGGCCATGCATGTTATATCATGTCATACAACGTGTAGGCATCCTAGAGAATCACTAGCAGACTAACGTGGTCCACAAATGACATGCCGCTTCTTTATCTGGGCCATCTGGAGTCCGCCAGTCCACCAACAAGCTAATCAGCCAACAAGATGGGTGCCTCGAAAGCCGTCTTCTCTCGGAAGATGTCTGGCACCTTGATTTTTTCTCCTGGGAATGTCTACGCCGTGTAAGAACATGGCGTGAATCGCGTGCTGGGGCAAATTTCAGTTCTTCCACAGTGTGCCTTCCACACCATATGCGTCCTCTTAAACATGACCTAATCAGATCTGGTCACGCTCCTGGGCTTCCCTGATGGCAAGGAGATCTTCTCCGGCACTGTAGTGGCAGTGTAACTGCCGCTGCCCATGCCGCTGCCCATGGCGCTGCCCATGGCGCCTGGCGTGTCCTCTGTGAAGGCTACAGTAGTGGCCGGTGGGGAGACCGGCGACACGGGCTCCCGCGTGCGCCGCTTGGCCAAAGGCTGGCGCAGCTGTTTCCAATAGACCTTGGATTTGGCCGCAGCATGGCCCACGCTCAATGATTGACCGCTGAAACGATATCAAATGATATCAACATTTCTTTCGACTCAAGATACAAGCTGAGACACTTGATGTCCAGACTCGCCTGATTTGAAGGACAAGTCCCCCATTAAATGGTTGTCTATCTTGTCTTCGTAGCGCATGTATTCGAGGATCCGGTCCCAAATCGCCGGGAAGTAGGGGGAAAAGTGCGCCACCTGGCTCATTGGTCTGGAGGTGAAAACATGAAAACATTTTCCAAAACCAAAAACATGATTAAAAACACATGGAATCATATGGTCAGCTGATGGCAAAGGCCCTTCTGAACATACAACACATGTGTGCTTCGCTGAAGGCCAACCGACCTCTGGAGGATGTGCAAGTCTGTTTGATGAATGAAGGAAGAGATCCACTAGCGATGGCCTCCAACCTAATAGCTTGTTGCTCCTAGTAGTAAGGCCAGGAGCCCCTAGTAGCGTCCTTGCTCCGTTCGTAGCGATGCCAGGAGCCCCTGTTGTAGCTTTTTGTTACTAATAGCGATGGCCTCCAACCTACTAATTGCTAGACTAGGCTTTTAGACGCTCTCAGAACCTCTCAGATCCAATCCCTGCCGATGTGTCCCGGCCATCTGCCGCCTGCTCACCCACGCGACTCTCCGATCCGGCGAAGGAGTAGGGCAAGACCTTCCGGGAGAAGCGCTCGGGGAGTTTGGCCACCGAGTCCTCCAAAGCCCAGGTGAAGCAACGACATCCGCGCTGTACTAGCACGGTGGAGACGCCCAGGATGGAGCATAACAAGGTGAACCAAAGCTGCGTGTCTGAAATAAAGAGGACCAAGGTGGTGAACCAAAGTACCTTACAACCGGCCAAAGACAAGAACGCGCCTGGTCCAAAACAAAGTGCTTGCTCAATGGTCTTAATATGTCTTAATGATGGCTGTATGCTTGCCAGCTGCGAACCAAAGAAGGAAGTCAGAGCCCCATTCCGTGCTGTAGTAGATCCTGGACAGCTCCGAGACGGACTCCCGTCCCGGGAGCGCGATCTGCAACTCCACTGTGGCCTCGTACATTGCGCGGAAAATGATCAAGCCCAAGATGAACTTCACGGAAAAGAGCACGATCCAAAACAAGTATCCTGAGAAAACTCTGACAGGTCAGCTTCTCGATTGAATGCTTGTGGTCAGCGGGACATCCCCATATCAATAAGGATTTATAACATTCCGCCGGCTACCAGAAAGGGAGGAGAAAAAAGAGCTCATAGTTAGAACAAAAGTACTAGCTCGGAGAGTGTCGTACCAGCCGCGCCGTTAACGGCACGGGACTCATCTCCCACATATGATCGGAATTGCTTCCGCAACTTCTGATGCAGGACCCGGAGGGCACAAAGAGCAAATAGGCCAATCCAGTGCCCGAGAGCGCAAAGTGCAAGACTAGGAGGGGTGCCAAAGGCAAACCGAATTGGCTATCCTCGCCCAGTGCGGAGTCTCGAATGCCAGCATAAGTCAGAACTGGCAGCATCCTCAGCATGTGTCCACAAATGGTTGGGTGTACAAAAAGAACAGCCAAAGAAAATGAAGAGGACTGGCAGACTTCAAAGGGCTGCGATATGCTGGTTCAAACGCAAATGAGGCCCCATCCACCATAGTGCCTTCCAAAGGCCTCATTCACATGGACGGTCATACGACGAGCCTACTAGTCCCAATACCTTGACATCTAAAATCTACTTTACCGACTGCCCCAAGAACCTCCTGCGAGCAACATGATAAAGCCTCGATCCACTAGTTTGCATGAAAACTTGTGAGCATCGCTTGTTGTTTTCAACTATACATCGAATTGGCATCAGGGGACAACTGGGGACAACGGTTCAAAGTTGTTTATAAAAGATTCACCGATGTGAAATCTCCGGCTTGTGCCGACACGTGTACACCCATCTCCGGCCAGGCTGCTTCGTCCCGCGCAGGCCAACGGCGCTTGCAAACGTAGGACACGTCCTAGCAGGGAAGGAAGATCGTCGTGCGATGAGTCTTTTCGTTACCTTTCTTTTGTTCTGCCTATCTAAGATATAGCCTATCCTTTAAAACTTTCACAAGAACGTTCTACTTGTGCATCCGAGTTTCACCGACTTGGTCTATGAATGGTGGGCCGTGTCGTCACCAACCGCATTGAACAAGCAACACCTGTAAATCCCTGCACTACATTCCAACACGTGTAATATCAATGATATGAGATGTGATTCTAACATGAAGTTGTATTATGTTGTATCCGCTAAGGTGACTGCAATGAGTGCGTCCTGTGACTTGCCACCGTGCGCAGGCCCACAATAGAGCATGAACGGGCACCACCAGGGCCACAGCAGCGAAGCGAACTCCGCCACTGATCCCCAACAACGGCTGTTGCCCATCCAACGGCTCTGCGTCTCCTGCTACGGCACCTGAGAACGCTCTGGGGACATGTTGAAACCCTTCCAGTTCGTTTCCTGAGCACTGCCTTCTACGCAAAATAACAATGCCTGGCGCCTTTTGTCGTATCGTATCAGCATTCAAGGCACAAACACCGGAGAAGAAAAGGATCAAATGCAAGAGAACTATTCGATGCGTCGTGGCGAAGACGCCCCACAAGGAGTGGATCTCCCGATGCGTCTTGGTCTCCGCTGCCTCTAAGGTGACCTCCAACAATGCAGCGACAAATAACGAAACCATACGAAACCAGGTCCTTCGCTCATTGCAGTACTGTTATTGAAATCTGAGAATCACAGCAACTGATCACACCAATGACATCCAATGACCCTTCTTTTCCAACACTTGGGAAGACAAAATATCTCGTGCTAGCCGTTGAACAGCCAGAAAAGCAGCAGTGCTTCAACCCTCCTAAGCCGTAAGCCTCCAAACCGCGTAGTGGGGATGTATCAGTTTTCCGTTTCAAGGTGTTCACGCAGTGTCAATGATTATGGTGAGCTGTTACAACGACCCTTCAATCTTCCACACTCTGCACCTGCCAATCCACGCGAGGCAAGGCCAGAAAGCGGCGCTCGTGGGGGAGATCGAAAAGACGTGTGCCGTCTTGCAGCAACAAACCCTCGACCATACGACTGGGATCGCAAAAGAACTCATTCCAGTCCTCAGCGTTCACGGAAACTTATAACCGTGGGCATCCGAAGGTGCCCCTCGAACCAAGGTTGAAAAGGCAGCCTTTCGGCTCAGATTGGTTTCCAAAGGACTTTAGTTGCTCTAGAGCTACGACTAGGAGCAGGAAGCTACTCGGGGCTCCTGGCCTTACTCTTACTGCTAGGAGCAAGAACGCTACTTGGAGCAAGGACGGACTTTAGTTGCGGATTCTTTTCTGCTTTCTTGAGGCCATTGCGAGTGTGTCGGGGCCATTGCGATCTCGGTGACGTAGACACTCCTGACTCCTTGAAATAGAAAAGGATGAGAAGAACAGCGCTTTGCTGGGCTTTGGAATCATGAGTCACGCAGTGGAAGGATTTTGGACGTGTTAGGTTGAACTTGATGCTTGCCTTGCAAAGGCTAGGGGCTTTGAACAGCTGGGAGTGCCTCTGCCCAAAAGCAAACCAAGTAAAACGTGTGCGCGTGTATCCTACATTGTGTTATGTAAGTTGCCTGATATGCGCCTAGGAGATGGGGGATGCCTTTGTCTTGAAGCGGTTGAGGCGGGGTGCGTTGGATCCGCGGAGAGGGGTGGGTTGTTGATCAAGGTGAGGGGTCGACTTGGACTCTTTTTGCACAGCTTAATTAAGCTAGTGGTAACAAGTGCCACGCTAGTAGTAACAGGTGCCTCACTAGTAGTAACAAAAAGCTACTGATGGGCTCTGAAACCAACAGCAATGTCATTCAAGGCTCGTCGTAGTTGGCAACCTGAAGGGATAGCAATTCAACGACAAAGGTGCAGCAACATGCTCAAGTCTTTGCAATTTCAAGAAGCAAGCCGTGCCACTCCCAATCAGTTCAACACATGCCTTCCAAGAAACATCCGGAGGGAGAAAGTTCTCAAGACCGGGCTTCAATTTTTTCTTGTCCTTCTGATTGTTCTGATCTATGTCAACATACTGATACCTTAAGAAAACATCTTCACACTCTACGCAATGACAAGCAAATGGCTGGATAACATGCCGCAACAAGCTTGTCTGCCTCAATAAGCTCAATACTCGGCCATAATGGCTCAACAACAACAACGACGACAACAATAAGCTGCTGCTTCTTCTGCCCTGCAGGTGTGCAGCAGGTAGCATGTCCGACAAAGTCGTTGACAAGTTGAAAGGCAAGCTGCCACTCATCGAAAACAACATTGTAGATTGGACGGATGATCTTGCTCAAAAAGAAGTTGCTCCTCAGAAGCAGTGTGCACTAGTATGTCGTGCCTGACATGTTTGCTTGGTCGATTCCAAGTTGGTACTAGTAATTATTCATACAAATAATTGAACAAAATCCAGCAAAGGCTAGCCTTTGGAAGGCCGTAAGGGCAAGATCAAAACGAAACCTCAAGAAGGAATGTAGCATGAGACTTAAATCCACCCCTGCAAGACATCCAAATCATATACGTCCGGTAGCACAAAGTGAAATTGACTCTTATGAGAACAACAATCCCAGGTCTGCCACTGACTAGCCAGGACTCCGAAAAGGGGCTCCAGGAAGACTGGGCTCAGGGATAGCTACGCCGTATATCTCTTCAAAGTCCGATGGGTTGGCGGCCAAAGCCAACTCTGTGATGAAATAAATGGCCTCACATGCCAAACAAATCTGATCAAAAACACTACGCAAGTTACTTCTCCGTTTTCAGAACAACGGTGTGTCAAAATGGAAGCCTGAGGGGTGCTTTGTGGTCGTTCTCAAGTCAATGACACAATAAGGATAATGATAAGGACATCAAACTACTCAAAAACTCATCAGCTCTCCAATGCTTGCACTAGACTGCAGTGGGGAGGGGGAAGAACATTCTCCCTGGGCACTTCTCATGGAAACTGGAAACACATCAGACCATCCAGCAGCGGTAGAAGCATAGCAGTCAGAACAAAAGACGGTCATGAAAACTACCGGCACGTGCTATGCTTGATAGTACTATGCGAATTGAACAACACCCCGGGAAGCTGTAGAGCCCACACATTGGGCCATGTGCCCACCTGTCTTTGGACCCTCCGGCCTCTGGCATAAATCTCACATTGCCGGCCTGACAAGGCTAGGAACAAGAAGCTACTAGGGGGAGTCTAGGGGCTCCTGGCATCGCTACTAGGAGCAAGGACGCTTGCCTCGTGTGTCTTTAGTGCTTTGAACCATTTCTGTCGCTCTCTGTCCCCGTTTGGTGCGACCCATGCCTCGCCCCAAACCAGCAGATAGGTGGCCATCTCAGCCAGTTGACGAGACAACACTGTGGCCGCTGAAGGATCAAGGCCTTCCTTCTGCAATGGCTCCCACTTTGCACCGCCAAGAGGTCGAGGCCTAGCCCGAGGTCTCGTTTTATCTTGGTGGTTGCCCACAGGTTCTCATTGATTCTCACTCTCCAGCACAGTCAGATTGACATGCCTACATGGTCTAAAAATGCACTTACAGGAACCTCTGCAAAGTCACCCCCTCTAATCCGCAGCAATGCGGCTCATCCTCCGACAGACTCAGCATTGTGGCGGCTTCATAATTTCGCAGGTTGTCCTCGGTAGACGAAGTAGCACCGCTCAGGACAAACAAGGATCATTGGACATCTTCACCCTATGCGTGCGCTCTAACCCAAAGGCCCCTTGTAATTGTAAGGAAGCAACCTCTCAACCTCTGGCAACTGGTCTCAACCTTTCTATTGGTAGGTTGGGCCAAAATGTTTCCTAAGTGGCCCATTAGTTGAACTGATAGCATTCAGGAACATCCGACCGAAGCCCAAACCATGAAAGGCAGTCTAATCTAATCTCTCTCCCTCTCTCTTGCAACAGCTCTTCGCATTCAGATCAAAGTCTGTCCCAGCTAGGCTGCGGGGCGAGAAAGGAGCCCAAGCACGGGTGGCATAATACGCGGAAGAAATTGTATGGAAATATCACTCAAGCAAACCCAGCATTCACTGGGCACTGGGTAGGTGCTGCAAGGGACTCCTGCCAACACAACACTGCGCAGGACGACAAGCGGATTCAAGAGCTGGGAATCTCTCCAGCGAATGAAGCCATCCAACATCTCAAAGTACAAGTCTCCGGCAGCCTCGCACGAGTTTGGAGTGATCGGAGAAATTGCGGCAAGAGTGCTGTCGGCGGTTTGAGGATAACATCAAATCCTCCCTAAATGTCTCGGCATGCTTCGGCTCACACTTTACAGAGTCCGCGGGGCTTGACTGATCCCTTCAGATACTGTCTTAGCTGTGAAGAAGGAAAACCATCACTTGTCAATTGGCAAAAGTCCCACTCTCAAATTTGGAGGGATGAAGTTTGATGAGTTTGGCGGTTTCCAGGCTTCTCCCCAGTTCTGCAACAATACAGTAAGAGCACAGAATGATACAAGATGCATCATTGTAAATATCATATTATCCCTCCAACAGCTCCATCAGCCCCACACAGCCTCCTGCAGTAGAATGGCTTCGTTCACGGATGCGCCAACTCCAACAGATCGATCTGCCACCATGGCACAGGAAGAGCGCCACAGCGACAAGAAATGCTCGAACTGGTTCCGCACGCTATCTGCCTTCCACTCCAGTGACCCCCCAAAAAAGGAGACCGTAGAGAGGAAACAAAATAAAAAAGGATAGCTCTCACGCTGAGTCCAACTATGTCATGTCCAACGGTCCAACCCATCTATGTAGATACATGTAGAGACCCGACAGGCTCTCCTAGAAAACAACTCGTTCGAGTCTTTCCATCAGTCTCCTTGCCGCCTGAAAGTCTAAGGTCTCCTTCAAAGCACCGAAAAGGCTACTGGTGGAGTTGGCAAAGTCGGGCGCTCCCGGCAAAACCCGCAGACAATGTCTCTCCAACCAGGCGAGCTCCAACTCCTGCGGTAAGGGCACTCGGTGAGGTATTTTCACGGGGGGCGTTTTTTGTCTTCCTCACATTAGCGTCCTTGCTCCTAGTAGCGATGCCAGGAGCCCCTAGTAGCGTC